AAACAGTTAACACCCACCTATGTGCCTTAGCGCCCCTACTACCCCCAACCCCCATTAACCAATGCATTCACATAGGAGCACCTTATTTCATTAGGGAAAAAAAAATAAAAAAAATCAGTTCACCATTTAGTATTTACCGCGTTTCCACATCATTCGTTCCTAGACACCGAAACGGTGAAACTCCGCCCCTAGTCCTTCCCCCCCCCCCCCCCCCCCCCCAAAAAAAAAAAAACAGAACAGATCATCCACTGACGCCGTTTGAACAACAATTCAAAAAAAAAAAAAAAGGATACCCCTACCCCGGCCCGTTAACCCCATTCCATCTTCCCCCATTTTCCATAACATGCATGAGGGGCTCGTTAGACACTCCTAAAAGTTCCTGTTTTTAGGATTGCGTCTTGGTTGCACGCAGTCCTAAATGGGACGCGGGAATCGAAAATGTGAAAACGGCGTTAGGACTCGTCCTAAAAGATTTAGGATTCCCCAGCCAAACCGTCCTAAATTTTCCAGTAGCCCCGGACCTACTGAAAAATTTGGGATTCCCACATTTCACGGAGTCGTCGCGTCGTGAGAATGGCACTGTCGACACGGAGGAGCTGGTCCAGGAGAGGTCCATCGGGCCGGTGGGCGGACATCGGAGGTTTTCTGGCGGTCGACGACGGCAACGGCCCCCACCGGTAGCCGTTGGACGGTGGGGTGGAGCAGGCGGGGCGAAGCATGGCCAGGCGGGCGGCCGTTGCAGACCGTTGGATCGGGTGCAGGCAATGGAGGAGTTCCCAGACGTCTGCACGACGACACACGGAGGCGGCGTGGGCGCCAACGGTCAGTTTTTGAATCGGAGGCGCCAACGTTTGTCGTCTTCGCTGGCGGTCGACGGCATATGAAGGTCCAGCGGCCTTGTCCGCGGGCATGCAAGGAGAAAGTTCAGCAGGACGTCACGTGCAAGGTCGCCTGTCGACGTCGAATTCATGGCAGATTTGCAGAGGAGATTGCCTCTGCTGCTGCTCGTGGTGGTCGTCTTCCTCTTTGTCGTCTTCCTCCACGTGTGCTTGTCGTGCCGTCCGTGGAAGCAACGTCGAAAGCGCACGGCGTCGATGAAACGCGCTGTGCTTCAAGAGGAACGTCCCATGGCGGGCATGAAGGCACGTGCTATTTTGCCTGCAGCTGAGGGCGGAAGAAGACCTGCGACGACGGAGCCTTCATGGCGGTACGACCCGTCCATGTACAGCCATCTGCCGTCGTGGGAGACGCCGCTGCCTCCCTCGGACGAGGAGCCGAAGGGGGATGAACTTCCAACGTTTCCTCTCGCCAGCGGGTCGACGCAGCTGTTGTCGCAGACGGTGCTCGTAGGCGGGTCGGCGAGCAACGAACGAGGCGAGTACACGTCACTCCTGCAGCAAGGGTTGGGAGACGACGACGACGGGGGAGTTGATCTCCGGTTCGGCTTGAGTTCTGGCGGTGCCAGGGAGGCGAGCCGCACGGTCATCACCGCCGCCCATGCTTCCGCATGTGGCCTGCAGCAGCCTCGAAGGGAGCAGACGGGACCTTCCACAGTACGTGGCGGCGCGTCCGTCGTTGGCGGTGTCGGGTCTTCGCCAGCAGCTTGGCAGCATGTATCGGGTGCGCCGTCCGGGGAACGATTGACGGATAACTGGGACGTGCGCACTGCTGCCGCAACAGCGTCCCTGCGCACCAGCGGTGCACGCTCGTCAATGCTGAACCGAACAACGGGCGCGCCACCTTAAGGGAGGGACGAGGGCGCCTGCAGACCACCGGCGGGTTCAGGAGCCAGTGTGGAGAACATCACTCGAGGCGTGTCGAACATGCGGGCACACAGCGATGGCGGCGACGACGATGGCTGTGGCGGTGACGATGCCGACGACGGATTCAGGGAGGAAGTCGAAGCGGGGGACGACGACGACGACAATGCTGTTCTGCCTGTGGGGAAGACGGGTGGTAGGGGTATTGGACGCAACAACCGTGGTGGCCGTGGTCGATCCGTTGGCCGTGGCGGCAGAGGTGGCGTCACCGACGACGGAGGGAAGTCTGCGACGTACTGGTCGACGGACGAGCAGATGGTCCTCGTCAGATGCAAGCGGGAGCAGGAGGCGCACCTCGCTGGGCTGGGCCACAATTACGGTCGGATGCGGACGAAGGAGTGGAAGTGGGTCGACATTGCGAAGCGCATGGCGAACGGTGGGAGCCCTAAAGACGCAGACGACTGCATGAAGAAATGGGACAATTTGTTCCAAAACTACAAGAAGATACAGAGGTTTCAGAACGCGAGCGGGCG